CTTAGATATAGTATTGTATGATGAAGTTACTATGTGCGGTGAAGATAGTAGCTTACGTATTTTAAGAAGGCTTTCCAGAGAAACTTCCTTACGTGGGTTTGCGAAGAAGATGATTGAAGGGGTAGGAATCAACGATACTTTAGAGTGATTCTTATCGTACAATAAGAAGAAGGGGTATAGTGGTAGTTGGTGGGAGTTTTGGGTGAAAACGAAATCTAATCTAATGACCAATATATAGACGTGAGGATAAATTAGGATTAAGGAAATTGTTATACTATCATTTAAATAATGAATAATCTTTAGTAATATTTATGTCCATGCCTTTACACTAATAATATAAGTGGAAAATTTTCTTTAAATAATTTAAACTATTTGCTAAATTTGGAATAAAAATTAAAAAGTGAAAAAGAGTAAAAGGAAACAAAAACTTAATAACATACATGCGACGATGGGAAAGAGGAGCGGAAGAAAAGAGAAAAGCAAATGATAGCGAACGCATAGGGAGAGGCGGAAGAATAGAGGGGGAGAATTAAAGTTTGTGAATCGCCACGACAGATAGTCAACACCCATCCAAGAGGCACAAGAGGCATACTATACGCCTCTCAGAAGCGCAGAAAGCAATAAAAGGCAAGGGTTTGGGCCCCAATGAGTATCCACTGCCCCGGGACTCTTCTGTGCGATTTCCCCATGGCTTAGTTGCAACTTACGCTTTTTTAAACTAGGGTGTCAAGGAAAAGATATAAAAACAGACGGGGATTACGGGGAGCCCTTTTCAGGAACTGAAAAAAAGCAACATGCACCCAACAAATCAAAGTAAAGAACACACCATTTTTAGCCAAACACCAAAAGGTACAAAAAAGGAACATGGATACACGTCTACACTTTGAAGCCATCAGCCCATCTAAAGGTATTTCTCAACTTTGCACTGGAATATGAAAAATAAATTAATAACTGAACCAAGCAACCTTATCTACTGATCATAGTCTCATGTACCGAAATTCGGTGGTCTGCTTCCCAAGTTCCATCTTGCCTATCAATAACCTACATTGCTTGTAAATAGTATCAAGTTTGGGCACCAGTTTGGATTCAGTCATAAGTCAGAACAAACCAATACCAAATTTAAACAACCAACCTCATTTGCAAAAGTTCAAAGGTGCCTTCATTGGTTTCGACTAATTAATTATTAACCAAGTTTTTATCTGAAAACATTGTCTCATTTGTCCATGTCCTTCATTTTCTACCTCATACATTTTTTAATAAAAACTATGGCTCTCTTGTGGGTCTCATGGCAAATTTATCTGAGAACCTGCGATAAAGGTCTGGTCATTGTTATTGTTGCGATAAAGTACTAGTAAGTAGTAGAAACCTAAAATTTGACAGATTACATAATTTGATTACTTCAAAACCTCAGCGGCTCATTCACGGGTTCCATATTTTCATTGCAAGACCTTATAAAGACATAAAGAAACTATTTCAGTAGTGTGTATGCAGTTGGCTGAAGCAAACAATAATTTATTATTAATATCATTCTACAGGTGTTGGAACTTCCCAGCTACCATTAAAGCACAAAACACATCAAAGGTTCTTGTCTAGATGTAACATTTAGACACTAAGCAATGCAAATTACCAACACAAATAAAAATGAAAAATCATTAGAGTGATACCCCAATTCGAAAATAAAAATCTATAGGCAAGAAATAAAAAACAAACTGAAAATCATCTTCTGTTAAACCTAAAAACAGAGAATAATCACTAAATCCCTCCAAGCATAAAACAGATAAGCTACTACATCTGCTGCCAAAGCACAAGACACAACTCTACTTATCAATAATAAAGAATATTGCTACGTATAATATTGTCAATCTTTACTAATACTCCATAAATACGTTAAGTACATGTAAATACCTCCCAAATTTGGAGCCAAGAACTGAAAATTGAAGAGCAGAACTACTAGCAGTAGTAGCGAGCAAATGAATAAGCCAACACTAAAGCCGCCTCTCATCCCCTGACCTGCGGAGACGCTATCCTAGACAACATCCCATCGCCCAGCCGGGTATCAGATGTCCACCTCGATCACCGTCCGCCTCGATCGACTATCGTTCGCCCCTCCCCACCTCGCTCTCAGTCCGCCTCTCTCGCCGTCCTAGTTCATCGTCCGCCTCGATGGCTCGCCGTGCACCTCGCTTCTCGACAGCCTCCTTAATCGCAGTTCATCAAGGAGAATTTATCGAAAAGGGCCGAAAAAGGTTGAGTATTTTGAATCTACCGGCCTTCTATTACATTATTAGGAAATGGTGTAATTACATAAGGACCCTTAATAAAACGACACCATGAACTTAAAAACGACTGTCTATCCGATTTCGAAAAACGGGAAACGGCTTGTTGGTCCCACCAGCTTCCACAATCCAACTTCCGGAATCCCAGCTTCCCCTTCCCACACACTTCATCATTCACTATCAGTCGAAATCGATTTCGGTCGAGCTCCGGGTTAGGGCAGAAGCATTTTCGATTTCCAGCACAAGCATTCCTCGATTTCTACTTCGACTTCGACGAGGAGCATTCTTACATCTCCTTCCATCATCATGAAGTGCAAAAGTCCTACGGTTCCTCTTGGGAAAAGCCAAGCAAGACGGCGACTTGTGAAAGCATCTGAAGTGATGGAAGCCAAAGATGAACTCAATATTCAGGTAAATGTTAGATTATTTATGATTGCTTGAGAGCGATACTTGGTTCTTTAGAAAGCTAGACGTGGTAATTTCTCAAATGAAAGCTATAGATGTTCATTCGAATCCGAACTCAACTCAGTCGACCCAAATCATGTTTGATTATTTTGAAAACGCAATGCATGTTTCTCACTATTTTTTCTAAGTAAACATACCTACCAATTATACAAGTATCATTGGTGGTTAATTCGGAGTGAATTTCTGTAAAATCATTTGGTCGAACTAAACATACATTTTTTACCAATCTTAGTCGAAACGGAGTTGTAAACCATTGGTTCGACCGTATCTTAGTCGAACATCTGTAATTTTTTTTATATGCAGGTTCCTTCCTTGCCTCCTGTGGTGGACTGCTCGTTGTTCCCGAGCATGAAGCTCACAGTAAGGCAAAAATTGGATGAATTTATAGAATTAATTTTCGACAATCTTGGTGAGTTTCCCAATCTCATGGGTGCATTTAGGTCGAGTGTATTTGGGAAATACATTGATGTTGAGTTCATCCCTGTTCCATTACATTTGTGGTCAATCGTGTCTAGATTAGCCAAAATTGATATTGAATCGGAGGCATGGTTTGTCGTGAAGGGAGTTCCAGTACGCTACTCTCTCACAGAATTTGCTCTAATCAGCGGGCTTACCTGCAGCGCCCTTGCTAGCAATTATGAAAATGATTTTGATAATGATTCAAAGGCCAGATTCATTGAGAAGAATTTTGATCAAGATTTTGAGGGAGTTGTTAGCTATGAAACAGTTGTAGCTAGATTTGTACAATTGTGCACAACTTTGAAGGACCCTGAAGCTGAGGACGAACTGAAAAAGGATGCTGAAGTAGAAGTGATCAGAGTAGCAATACTCATGTTTGTAGTGATGGTCCTTCTAGCTCCTTCTAAGAGAAAAGCTCCCATTCCTGAATGGATAATTGGGAAAATAGGGGGAAAAGAAGAAAACGAGTTCCCATGGGGTACGTGGGCGTATAAGGGCTCATTAGATGCATTGAAACATATGGACTTGGAGAAAAAGCTAGATGAAATAATTGCTAAAAATAAGTCAGCAACAATGAATTTCCCTGGATTCTTAATCCCAATTTCGGTAAGGACCTTTGTTAATATCATTTGCAGATTCTATTTTGCATACTGTAATAACAATTTGTCTAGCATTTCTTGACTTTTTCAAATTTTGTTTTAATAGATATTGCTTTTTGAATGCGCCCCTGATTTTGCCGAGAAGTTTGCAATGAGACTCCCTAATTGTGTGCCTACTTTGCCGAGGTTACGTCTTTATCGTCCAAATACGACAAAAAGGATCAGCACTGAACAGGTTCAAGTGGCTGAAGAATCAATAAAGGTAAGAACATTTTCACACTTATAACCTTTGTTCGACCAGATTGTGGTCGAACAAATAAACGTGATCGACTACTACACGGTCGATAATACGTTGTTTTGTTTATACAACTAAAAGTGAAGAACTAAATGTTTGTTACAGAGGGTGCAGAGTATTCTACTACCTGATGATTTGGAGAAAACTACTGATTGGGTCAGAAGTTTGGATCCTGTACAAGACAGTCACCCACATGTTGAGCTGGATGGATTTGTGAAATCATTAGAGAGAAAATTGGTTCTTTTTCCAGTCTCTTTGAAAAGAAAATCATGTGAGGTCAAGAGTCCTAAAGAGGAGAAGAAGCCTCCTAAAAAGATGAAGTTGCTGAGCATGAAGAAAGAAGAAGTTGTAGTGGAGGAAAAAAGAAAGAAGAAAAAGAGACACTCTCCTCCTCAAACCCCTATTGCCTCTTCTCAACCTACTGCCCATGTAGAGGAACAAAGAAAGAAAAAGAAACACTCCCCCAAAACCCCTGCTGCTTCTCCTAAGCCTCCTTCCAATGAAGATTCAATAAAAATGTATATTGAACAAAAGTTTAAAGAACTGGAGGATCTTTCAGAAAAAAGGCTCAATTCTTTCAAAGAGCATTATGACAAAAAGTTTCTGGAGTTGGAGAAACGGTCAGAAGAGAGGCACAAGAAACTTGAAGAGTTACTTGTTAAGGTTTGTCTTAATTCTATAGCAAGATAAACCTTTGAAACTTGAGCTTCAATAATTAGTTATAATTTTTTCCTTATATAGTCCACTGCTAGAGGAGAGGAGAAAAGTGTTGAGGGGGCTGAGCATAAAAAGGAGGTAATTGCGTATGCATTAAAGCTGTTAATGGACTTGTAATATTTTTAAAGCTGGTAGAATTGTTTTGTTTTGTGAACGGTCATGAATACTTACTTTACTTATTTTCCATCTAGAAAAATGAAGAGAGTGACGATTCTGAAAAGAAAATGGAGCAAGAAGATGAAAAGGGTTTAGACAAAGAGGCTCAGGCTGAAAAGTTCGACCAAGAGAAGAAGGTACATCGTTTAATTCCAAACATTTGTGTATAAAATATTCCGCCGACTAATATTTGGTCGACCTGTAAATATGTAATAAAAAAGTGGTCGACTTTGCTGTATATTTAACATGTTCTTGATTCTAGAATTTACGTTAATATTGGTAATTCGTATAGATGTTAACAAAGATGTAAGATCATGAATACTTACTTTACTACTTTTCATCTAGGGAAAAGAAGAAGAAGAAGCTCAAGGAAATGAAAAGATGAATGAACAGTATCAGGTTGAAGAGATAGAACAAGAAAAAAAGGTATATTTTAATCAAAAGTATTTGCTTAAACCAAACTGTTTGTTTATAAGAAGATTCGATCCACTAATATTGGATCGACTTTGAAACTATGTAAAAAATAAGTGGTCGACTTGATGTATATTTTATTCATAATTTACTATTTTTCTTCTAGGAAAATGAAGAAGAAAAAGAGTCGGAAGATGCCCAAGACTCTATGGCTAAGGTTTAGTAGTTTAATAAAAAATATTTGTGTTTACAAAGTTTTTTTCAACTGTTTTTTCAATTGCATGGGTGATGGTTTTGAATAAGAAGATTCGATCGACTAATATTGGATCGACTTTGAATCTATGTAAAAAATAGTGGTCGACTTGATGTGCATTTTAATAATACATTACTATTTTTCTTCTAGGAAAATGAAGAAGAAAAAGAGTCGGAAGATGCTCAAGACTCTATGGCTAAGGTTCAGTAGTTTAATAAAAAAATATTTGAGTTTACAAAGCGTTTTTCAACTGTTTTTTCAATTGCAAAGGTGATGGCTTTGAATGTGTATATACCAATTGTTTTCCGCAGGGTCATGAAGTCGAAAATGTATGTACATTGCAGACAAGTGAAGAGATTGGAGAGGTAACTAAATAGATAATAAACAATCGACCAAAAGAGGGCCGACCGAAAAAATCTACTACCTTTGTCTTCTTTAAAGATTAAGCATTAATACATATTATACATATAATGACAAGGTTGATCAGACGGTTGAACCAGGACTGAACATTGTTGATGACTCTATTGGCTTAGGGGAATCAGAGGTAACCTATAAGTAATCGACCAAATTATGATCGACTACTTACGTTAGTAATCGACCAAATTATGATCATGAATACTTACGTTACTATTTTTCATATAGGAAAATGATAAATTGATTACAGAGGTTCATCAGTATCAGTGTGAGGAAATAGAAAAAGAAAAAGAGGTATATTTTAATAAAAAAATATTTGCTTAAACGAAACTGTTTGTGTATAAGAAAAATCGATCGACTAATATTGGATCGACTTTGAATCTATGTAAAAAATAAGTGGTCGACGTGATGTATTATATAAACATCGACTTAGATAATAAACATCTACTACAGAGGTTCGATCGACTAATATTTGATAGACTTTGAATCTATGTAAAAAATAAGTGGTCGACTTGATGTATATTTTATTTATACTTTACTATTTTTATTCTAGGAAAATGAAGAAGAAAATGAGTTGGAAGATGCTCAAGACTCTATTACTAAGGTTCAGTAGTTTAATAAAAAATATTTTTGTATACAAACCTTTTTCAACTGTTTTTTTCCCATTGCAAGGGTGATGGCCTAGAATGTATATATTCCAATTTCTTTCCGCAGGGTGATGTGGAAGAAGTTGTTTGTTCATTGCAGACAATAAACTTATGTACATTGGAAACAACAGAAGAAAGTGGAGAGGTAACTACATACTTAAATAATAAACATCTACTACCGACCTATGTCTTCTTTATAGATTAAGCATTAATATATATTATACTGATAATGGCAAGGGTGATCAGACGGTTGACCCAGGATTGCATATTGCTGATGTCTCTAATGAGACGGTTCATGATCAGTTAGCTGAGGAGAGTGAAAAGGTAACTTATAAATGATCGACCAAAAGAAGGTCGAATACAGAAGATCGACTACTTATTTCTTACCAAAAGGTTAAGCATTAACATATATATTATAATTATAATTGAAGGGTGATGAGAAGGTTGATCCAGGATTGAATGTTGGTGATACTGCTGAACTTGATAATAAAACGAAAGAGGTAAACCACAAAACTTTTTAATATTATAATATCGACTACATTTATTTTTTAAAATATTAAACTTTGACATATATATTACACTTAATAATTGATAGGGTGATGATAAGGTTGAGCAACCATTTCGTATTATTGATTATGTTTGCGATGCTTTTGCCAAGGGTTTGGTTCGCAAAGAAGATGTTAGTGATGCTGATGATGTTAGAATTGTTGAACTTAATGATGAAGAGAAACAGGTAAAACTCAAAATTGTTTTCTCAAGTAGTTGAATTGTTTTATGATATATTCTTTATGATTGTTTGTAGGCATTGTTGGGAAGGGGGCGAAGAACAAAAGGAAGGGGAAAATTTACCAAATCTCCTTATGTGCCCTACAAGGGGAAGAAAAGGAGTCATCCCAGTGAGACGATACTGAAGAAATTTCATACTTTTATAAAAAAAGCCAAGAATGATGGCAGGGATGTTCAGTGCTTCGAGGACAAGTATTCTGAAAGTTCTGGAATGGAAAAGAAATTCTGGTCCATGATGTTGGACGTAGGTGGTTGGCTTGAGTCTCAGGTAAGTAGGTAACCACATTATTTATATTGATGAGTATTTCTTTTTATACAAAACGTTTACTTCATCACATGTAAATCTTTCAGCACTTTGACGAGTATCTTTCCTACCTGAGGAAACGTGTTCTTGATGAAAGTCTCTCAGATGTTGTTGTCACGACGGAATTCTTTTCTTCCTTTATTGATACCAATATGGATCCAAAGCAAGAGCTCTTTCCTGGATTGCTGGATGATTTGAATAAAATGATGGAGGGGACTTCGAGCACTTCTTATATCAAATCTTGGACAGGCGTGAAGCGTCTCTATTTTCCACACAACATTGCTGAAACTCATTGGATGGCAGTGCGAGCAGATTTCGAAAACAATGAGCTTGTTGTGTTTGACTCTCTGCGATGCTTCAGAAGTGATGATGAAATAGTACGCAGTTTAGAGCCGCACAGAAAATGGTTTGGAAATGTTGCTTGCATCCTTAATGGTATTGTCTATGACCCAGAAATAATGCCTCTTTGGAATGTAAAGCGGCCTACCGTACCCCAACAAACCACGAGTGACTGCGGTGTGTTTACAATGAAGTTCATAGAGTTGGACATGGTTGGTAAAGATTTTAAAGAACTTGAAAATATGACTGAAAGCCGCATGAAGCAAGTTAGACTACTCATGGCTTATTCTATATGTAAAGAGTTTCAAGAAACATTAAATGTATGAACTATTTCACTGATATTAAAGGAACTATACATTAATATGTATATACAATGTAAGTTTTTGTTTTCTTTATAATCATTGTTTACCAATTTTACATATAATTTCAAGGTTGATGAGAAGGTTCATGATCAGTTGGTAGGAGAGAGTGGAGAGGTAACGGGAAGAGCAAGTTTGACCAAGTTTTTTGAAAGATGAGTACGAAAGATCGACCTTATGCTCGACCAAGTTTTTTGAAATGGTTATAGATGTTTGTAGGTAATGGGAAAAGCAAAAAGAAAGAAAACAAAGCCAAGGCAGTTTAAGGTAAAAGTTGACGATGCATCTTTGAAGCTTGAAGAACCTGATGCGAAGGTTTTGGAGAGATTTTCTAGCTGGATTCAACAAGCCATAGAAGAGGACAGGGAAGTTCAGTGTCTTTTCCATAAATATAAAGAATCAGATGGAGTGTCAAAGAATTTTTGGACTGTGTTGTTGCGTCCTGGTGGTTGGCTTGCGATCGAGGTAACCAAATGAAGTAATTTTATTCGCTGAAATTACATTTTTCACATATATGTTTACTAAACCACATTTAAATTATTCAGCATCTTGATGAGTTTCTAGTGCATCTGAGAAAACGTCTTATTGAGAAAGAGATCTCCCATGCTGTTGTACCTACAGCTTATTTTGGTAAAATGGCTCAGCGCAATGGAAATGAAGAAATTTACCCGACACTAGAAAAAAGTATAGAGAAAACTATTCTAGGGACAACCACATCAATACACATGATTCCCTGGGAAAATGTTAAATATGTTTATTTCCCTCACAATCTTGGAGGGAATCATTGGGTTTGTGTAAAAGCAGACTTTGAGGTGGGAGAGCTTGTAACATTTGACTCTCTCAGGGGATTGATGAGTGATGAAACTTTTGAAGCAGCTATGAAGCCATTAAGAATGGTATTCCCTGTAATAGCATCCTTTGCCAAGTTGGGTACACACACATATGAAAACAAGTCAATGTGGGAAGTAAAATGCCCTATTGTACCGCAACAGAAAGAGGATGACTGTGGAGTGTTTGCCTTAAAGTTTCTAGAGTTGGACCTTTTTGGGAAAGATTTCAAAGAACTCGAAAATATTAATCACCAGAAGACCAAAAAAATTAGACTTAGATTGGCATTTGATATATGTCAGGAATTTAAGGAGACATCAATGTGTAAACTGTCTATGTAATTTTTGTTATTTTATTTGTTTGGTAAATATTGAATGCAATCATTTATATGCTAAGTGTTTCCTTGTACATAATTAGGGTTTCCTTGTATATCTAAAATACATGCATTTCCTAATTCTTAATACTTCGTTCGTATATGGTATATATCTAGAATCTAGAATATATGGTATATATCCAGAATATATGGTATCGGTATATATCTAGAATATACCTTTGGACTATATATTCCTTGTATATCTAGTGTACTATATGTGTGTGTGTGTGTGTCTTGAGATGGCATCATTTATATGCTAAATGTTTATTGATAGTTCATTTGTTCGGCTACATAGATGAGTCAATCATTTAGATCGACCATATGTAGGTCGACTATGATTTGGTCGATATTTAACAAATGCATGTAAAACGTAAAAACATAAAAAGGTTGAGTGTGAGTGTTTTCTAAAACATAATTAGGGTGTTTCCTTGTACATAATTAGGGTTTCCTTGTATATCTAAAATACATTTCCTAATTCTTAATACTTCGTATACCATATATATATATATATATATATATATATATATATATATCTAGACTAGAAATTATGTTATATATCTAGAATATATGGTATCGGTATATATCTAGAATATACCTTTGGAATATATATTCCTTGTATATCTAGTGTACTATATATATGTGTGTGTTTGTGTGTGTCTTGAGATGGCATCATTTATATGCTAAATGTTTATTGATAGTTCATTTGTTTGGCTACATAGATGAGTTAATGATTTAGATCGACCATATGTAGGTCGACTATGATTTGGTCGATATTTAACAAATGCATGTAAAACGTAAAAACATAAAAAGGTTGAGTGTGAGTGTTTTCTAAAACATAATTAGGGTGTTTCCTTGTACATAATTAGGGTTTCCCTGTATATCTAAAATACATTTCCTAATTCTTAATACTTCGTATACCATATATATATATATATATATATATATATATATATATATATATATATATATATATATATATATATATATATATATAGAATATATGGTATATATCTAGAATATATATATATATGGTATCGGTATATATCTAGAATATACCTTTGGACTATATATTCCTTGTATATCTAGTGTACAAACTTATCTAAAAACTATATTGTCTTTATGACAACAATGTGTTTTCCACCTACACATTTTTTGTTTTTGTCTTCGACCAACAAATGATCGACCTAGTTATATTGAATAAAAAAGTATTTTACCTATACTTATTACGAGTATAAAAAAAATCTAAACTTTACCAATTTTTTCAAACATTTAATTAAACATCAAAACTTTAATGTTTAGACAAAAACATTAAAGCCTTATTAGACAAAAAGCACATATTTTTCCAAAACTTTACCAATTTTAATTGATAAAGTTTCACTATTGAGCACTTTTAATGGATTAGTATTAAAGTTAAAATAGATAGCAGTAGGTAAATTTAATATTTGTTGGTGAATTCGATCAATGCATAGCAACCACCAGAGTTAAAACCCAACGGTCACCTCTTCCTCAGCCAATCACCCTATCAATCTAACTTTACTCACCGTTAATACAGATACACAAATCCTGTCAAAACCATGAATTAAAGCACAACTTTAGTTAAAGCACGTAATTCACCAGGAATTACGATCATAAACAATTAATGCTTGAAAATTAATTTT